ACGTACGATCTTACCGGCAGAGTGAACTTTGACGAGACCAGGGCACTGAACGCGGCGGCTGCCTGCGACGCGCGCGGACGCGAGTTCGCAAAAGTCGTGGTTCAGCCAGTGACGGGCATCTGTAGTCCAGCGACCGATGTTCGGGCCACGTTACGCGGACGAGTAGTTCGTTACCTCGTCCGGACTGACCGAGTGGTACTAGGTCGCAGTACACCGCGTGATCCTGTGGACCTGGACCTCGCCTTGGAAGGTCCGGCCGAGAAGGTTTCACGACGGCAAGCGGTCATCGCACGTGATCCCGCTACTGGTCAGTTTGAGATGACAAACGTTGGCGCCAGAACGGTGTTTGTGGACGGCAAACCGCTCGGAACGAACAGTCGGACACGGCTCGTCGACAACTCCATCATCCAAATCGCCATCATACGCCTCGTGTTCCGTATCGGTCAGTGAAAAGTGGTGCCGCCTCGTATCATTCAGCCGATGCTTCCGGTCTGAAATTGTATAATTTTGCCTAGTATGTGTTTACCCTTAATAATTTTCTCATGTTTGAAACGGTGTTGTGAATTTTATGATCATAAAAAAATGAATTATTTTGCATGGTTGATGCTCAACTTCAATACTAAATGTTGCACATTAGTATATGGCTCATGAACGTGTGGTCGCAAAGCGGCTACATTCTCAAAGGCAGTTGTACAGGCGAATGGGTCTGCACCTGCAGCAGCGTTTCTTTTTCTCCACTCAAAAGCGGACGCGAACGGTGCTGGGGTACTGCAACCAGATTTCCGTCTCTATTCAGCCTGAGCTATCAAGATGCAGCACTTGCGTCGATACCAAAGTCCCGCAGCGAAACACGCGCTGAGCCGTAGAGAACAACCAGAAGTGAGACGGTGGAGACAAGTAGCGCGTTTGGCTATGGTTAGGCGTGTGGCTGGTCGCGGGCGGAGACGGCACTCGGCTAACGCTGCCTTCCAGCCCGTTCCCGTGCACTTTGTACCACAGGAACGATATGCTACTGCTGCTGCAGACCCATTTTCCCCGCTTACGGCAAGGACCAGGATTCACGGAGGTGATTGTACACTTTTCCTTCAAGGAGGAAACGAATTAAAAGTTGATGTCGCCGCAGTTACCCGGCAGGGCGTCAGATGGCAAGCAGGTGAGCTCATCTCAAACCTGACAGCACACCGCGACTGATGGCGACGTTATACACTTTACCATTCCACAACGGCTAGCCGTTCGTCCAGCGCGCAAAGTGCAAAAATGCGTAAGAGCTACTAACGAAAAACAATAGGCTAATGCCGTTTGGACTCCAGCAATTTCGGCACCGAGCTCATTTTTAAATTGCCTAAGTCACCAAATCCGCTAAAAACTTGTATATAGGGGTAGTTTAACATCCTGATTACGAATATGACATTCACTCTTGCCGCTGGCGCTAATGGATGACACTACGATTATCTGCGCTCCGCTAAGGCTGAGCCCAAGAGGTAATCGTAGTGTCATCCCTTGGCGCCAGCGACAAGAGTGAATGTCATATTCTAATCAGGATGTTAAACTACCCCTATATACAAGTTTTTAGCGGATTTGGTGACTTAGGCAATTTAAAAA